TTTTTTTCTGCCCAACCTCATCTGGAGACGGTGCTAAGACAAGCCCATTTGTGACTTCACCAGAAAACCAGGTCAGGGAAAGTGCGCCTGGATAATGAGAGTATGCTGCGGATGTGTCTCGAGAATAACCGAGACAGACCACCTTTGAAATCCAAACCTTCTCATGAAAACCGCGTGTACAGTCACGTATCCTTTACTTCTTTCCATATCCTACATGAGCGGCGGCCAAAACTTCCCAAGTAACTCACTGCATCAGCTGCAACTTTCATCTGGTTCCATCGGATGATGGTGCCATTCTGGTAGCCAGTTCTTGACTACAAAGAACATTCGCAAAGCTGGGGACCCAAGACCTCAAAAGAACGAATGTCAATAAATCTAGACTCGATGGACTCCATGTCCACAAGCTCCACAGGATCAACTGTTCAAAAATGGAGCCGGGCGCCCTGGCCCATAGTGCCATAGGGTTCTGTCAATGTTTCCTGGGTGCCAGCAAGAGGTTTTTTCTGCCCAACCTCATCTGGAGACGGTGCTAAGACAAGCCCATTTGTGATTGAACAAAGAGCACTTCACCAGAAAACCAGGTCAGGGAAAGTGCGCCTGGATAACCGCTTTGGCCTAGATCGCTTTGGCCCTCGCCGTGGAGCTAGGTTTCACTAAGGTGCGGCAGAGATGGAGCTCCGAAGGCGCAGTGAAGTGAAGTGAAGTGAAATGAAGTGAAGAAGATCGCTTTGGCTCATTTAACTCTCCAGTAGCGAAGGCCTCACCATCCTGTTCTGTGGCACATGTTCGACGCGTACAAAGTCATACACGGTTACCTTGCGCTGGGCAATGCCGCTGCGGCACTGTAGCCTTGAAGATTCACACTTGAAGAGCCTCAATGAGTGGGCTGCACAATGAGCCAATTGCTTGACTTGGAATACTTGTTGGCGAGACTTCCCCCAAAGCAATCCTGGTCGCTGTGACTGCAAATTTCTACGCATGTCTCCTGGAGACCTGTGCTTCAAGTCGACTGGTGGGGTGCCAAGAACCGGCTCTGGGATTTGGGCCAAAGCTTTGAGGGGGTTGTGTTTGGAAAAGCCTGAAAGTCCAGTTGGTGGATATCGATGTGGCGAGAGAGGAGCAGCAGGTTCTTCTCTCGTTCAGAGGGGAGGAAAGTTGTTGGTGACGCCATTTGCTTGAAGTACGAGACTTGTGACACGCCTGTTGTTTGAAAGCCGCCCGACTTGACTTACCCTACCCTTGCCACAAGCCCAAATGTGCCTGTTGTTTGCCTGTGCTTGTGAAGGCTCAGACCAACTGTAACACAGACCAACTGTAACAGGTAGACGACTTGCGCACTAGTGTGACGATTCAGACTTGCAGCCAGTGCTCAGCGTGATGCCCTAAGTGTTTAGTTTGTTCCCACACAGCTGCAGCTTCAAGCCACTCTTTTGGATCAGAATTTCCAGTGTTTCTCCCAACAACGCTATGCGAAGAATATGAGCGTCGCCATTATTAGGTCTCGTGAGCTAAAGCTCCACCAAATCCTGGTGCATTCAACCAATTGGATTTGGCGCCCAGCCGGGTTGAAGTGCGAGCAGATCTCATGGTGAAGTCCTTTGTGAACAATGTCTGCATGATCGGAGTGCAAAAGAACCCTATGCCTATGACATTTATCGCTGGGCTAGCCGCCGGATTGACAGGTTTGAAAGGCGTAGGAGTTTGAGCTGCAAAGCTAATGAGTTCAGTGTTGAGAGGCCGGGTTTGAAAGGCAAAGCTTGCGTGAACGTGGGTGCTGCGTAGAACTCGCCGGACATCCTCTAAGCTTGAGGCCTTGCCCTTGCGATTCCAATGTCGTGCTGGCCATTGGTGCCGCCAGCAAGGTGCCTCAATGGTATTGGCAAACCTCAAAACTTGTTTTTTGCCTGAACGGATTGACATGCAGTTGTCATTGCGGGGCCAAAGCTGCTTCGCAGAATTCTGGATATGGAGGTCGGAGACGTTCGCAATGATATTTGTAAACTTTGTGTTGAGGGTGTTGCTGGCTGAGGAAGACATCTGGCTGAAGACCTGGCGAATCAATCGGAGATACCCCGAACGGCGGGGAGGCAGTCTTTGCACCTTGCAACGGTGAAGCTCTTTCAAAGGGTTGGGCCATCCTATGCCCTTCTTCTAGCAGGTGTTTAGCAGGTGTTTCTAGCGTGCTGAGAGCAAAAGGGCCGATGCAGGTGATGGCTGTGTCATGCAAGTTTCCCTTGCTTGACGTCAGTAGCTATATAGATGGAGGTGCGTAGTAATGTGCTTATTGCACTGTAGACTGAAAGAGTTTGAAAACGGAACTTCTGTCGAAGGAGGTTTGGACAACATTTAGGGCTGCCGTCAGACAACAGAGGTGCTAGTAGGTTTGAAAGACTATTTGCATTTATTTGCCTATGAATACCTGATAAAGCTAGCAATAAGCCCATTATTGTTGGTGAGGAAGAGGAAGTAGAGGAGACAGGATCAATAGACTACCCTCTAGCCAGGTGGGAGAAGTCGTTCACTGTTGGCGCTTTTGGTGTGTTGGGCTGTGGACTGCAGGGGCAGCGTTGAGAACACTAAGTTGAATTCCGCCAGGAGCACCTGCGTCAGTGGTATTGGCTCGTGCTGTGGGCTCCCACTTGAATACCCGTCAAATCTGGAAAGCTTGCAGTTGTGGTCTGGCTCTAGAAGACCAGCCCATTTTTCCCGAAACAGTTTACTGTTGAGGTTCTCAATGCTTTTAAGCGTGCCCGCCTCAGTCTGGCCTAGCGTGTCTGGCTTCTGGCAACTTCTTAGTAACAATTCAACCGCCGTTGGCGTGTGCCGCCGGCCTCCACGGCTGAATGCTGCCGCATGTGTGCAGAGGAGCACCGTGTCGTGAGCAAAAAATGAGAAGGGGAGCTAGACTGAAGGCAGGGGAAGACACAAAGCAAAGAAGCGGCAAGGGCTGGCCACTCTAAACCCATTCCAAGGTTTCGAAAAGTCTAGATATGATATAGGTGTTGAGGAAAGGGGTCGGTGGCAAGAGGGTCTGTCGAGGTCTGTATGATAGACAGTGCGCGGGCAGAAGGGGTGAGGTGGGAGAGGTGCGGGGAAAAACGCAAGGTCTTGTCCTATAGCATGCGGTGATGGGAAAAACCGTGGCTTGATGTGAACTGTGGTTGGTGTAAAGTGGAGTGTGTTGCAAACTATGGTTGGTGCAAACCGCGGCTGGGTGTAAACTGTAAACGGTGGTTGGGTGTAAGCCGTGGTTTGGTGTAAACGGTGGTTGGTGTAAACGGTGGTGTGGTGTAAACGGTGGTCGGTGTAAACCTTGGTTTAGTGTAAAGGGTGGTTAAACGGTGGATGGTGTAAACGGTGGCTTGGTGTAAACGATGGTTGGTGTAAGCCGTGGTTGTGGTTGGTGCAAACCGTGGGCAAAATGCTTTTAAAGCCATGGCAAAGCGCTGCAAAGCGCAGTCAAAGCCCAGTCTGAACTGGTGTCCGCCTTCTAGCAATTCCACACAGCTGTCTCCCAGTCTAGATTCCCAGGACATTTGTTTCCCAAGCCCGAGCCAGTGTGTCCACCTTTTCGTAGCCATTCTATACACTAGCCCAGACTGGGAGACAAATGAATAGAATTGCCACGAAGGAGTTGCCAGAAGGCAGACACAGCAACAGAGACTGGGAGACAAATGTAAGGAACTGGTACTTATTTAGGAGTTGCCAAAAGGCGGAAACACTGGCTCAGACTACAGCACCCAAACGGGGAGCCGAATGTAAAGAATTGTTAGTTGCCAGAAGGCGGACACACTAGCCCAGAGTGGGAGACATATGTCAAGATTTGCCTTTAAGGAGCTGGGAAAAGGCGGCCGCACTAGCTCACTCCGGTTGGCAAGTGCCCAATTACAAAGGCCTAAGGCCTTGCCAGAAGAAGGACACGGTAGCCCACTGGGAGCAAAAGAACTGCTACTGCGAGCCTGGCTCCAGAAACAGGTTTGTTTGCGTCGCCCTGCACATTTTTCACCTTTAACGACTTGCTCAATTTGCGGTTGAGGATTTTGTGCAGTCTTCCACCGATCGTGAAGTTGAGTCTTTGTTTGAGCTTCGCTGTGTTTGGCCGCCCCAGTTCTTTCAGGAGGCTCACATGTCGGCGTGTGCGAGTGTTCAGATCTTTTTGGCCCTATCCCTCAGCTCACGAGTTTTCGAATCATGGTCGATCGCACAACCTACACTGACTTGGCACACGCACCAGATCTCCCTCTTCGCCAGATCCTTGGGAGACAGCCGATGCCAATCTGCTCACGGTTGAAACCTTCTCCATGCTCGGACACGATCGCTGCCATGTGGCTGCCCTGATGTGTCGCTAACATGTGTTGTTTTTGGATCAGCGTGCAGCTGTTTGGGTCAAGCCGAGAATGAGGAGAGGAGGACAGAGAACAGCTTTCGGCTCCGTCAGGCTTCGCTACAGACTCTTTAGAAAGACATAGAAAGCCAACACACACACACACACAACAGCCCCCCCTTCTTCAGTGATTTTCTTGCAACCTGATTGGTTCTTGGAACTTCCTTGCTCTGTAGCTAGACTCTTTGCTGTTCCTGCAAAGATTGATGCGGGCTCAGTCTTGCGGCTTGAGTGATCCCAGTCAGGTTCAAATTTGTTGAAAGCCAAGCAGCTGCGGCCAAGGTTGACTCTCCCTCCAAGCACGATGAGGATATTCGTCAACAATGCTGCTTGGCCGTGGTTCATTTGCGGGATTCAACGCCCGAAGACCAAAAGCAAAGTTTCCACCAAGCCAAAAGATGTAAATCCAAGGTTGACAGCTATGTTGGCATTGCCCTGAGCATGCTGCCCTTTTTTCTTGGGCTGCTGAGTTTGACGAGCATTGAGGCAAGGCCCTATGTGCGGATTTGAGAAAAGTCTTCGGGCAGGACAATGGGCTACAGTGGGCATTTGTGTAGTTTGAAAGGCATGGTTTTGCTGCACTTTGTACATTGTCAGGACAACAGAATTGTGGGTACACTAAGCCCAGGTGCTGAGGCACCAGTGTTCAGATGTCCTAGTTTATTGTGATCTACTACAACTCTTGCTTTGTAGGCAGATGCAGTCTTCCGCGATGTGATGGGGGTGGCCGCCTTGACTGTTCTCAAACAGTGTGGACTATGCATTCAATATCGGCAGGTGAAGAGGATCGTGAGCCGCTCTGACAAGCAGAAATATACCGCTGACATTCTTTCGTCCGGGCCCATAGCGAATTCGCTCTAGTCTTGAATCTTTAAGTTTATGGTGGTGTGTTGAATGGACCAGTCTCTTTGTGGACAGACGCAGCCCTTAACGTAGGTGCTCCCTTGTGGTTTATGATCTACACAGCGCTGATGTAGATGATGCCATGCTCCAAGCGCACGAGAGCTGCCATGATGGGTTTCTGTCGAGCAACTTCATCTCCTTTGTCAGGTGGAATATGTGATCAAGGAGCTCAAGGTGTGGCCAGGAATTTGGAGCCAATGGCCTCTTGAGAGCCTTCAAGTACACAGGTTGCAGAGCTGAAGCACAACATAACGTTTGTGCTGATCTCTTCAGTGATGGTACGGAGCCCGACCCTGCACGGTTCCAGATCGTGTGTGTGTGTGTGTGTGTGTGTGCGTGTCTATGTGGTTGCGTGTGCCTTACTTTGAGGTATGGGCAAATACTCGAAAGCAGTATGTGCCCGTGAAAGGCCATTGGTTTTAAGTTTTGCAGATATCTTCTGGAGCCATATTGATTGTCTTCTCATCCAAGATCCTGATGATGAAGAAGACCCTGCTGTGGATCCAGAGGAAGGGGAGGCCGCTCTGCATGTCAATGTAGCATGTCTCCTGTGAGGTCATTGTGTGAGAACTTGGATGCCTATCCAGATTGATTCGGCGCGATGTGTCAACTTTGTGCACAGGAAACCGAAGTCAAGAAGCGCCCGAAAGAGTTCCTGAACGGCACATTCAGATCAGCAGCAGTGTGGGTGTTTGAGTTGTTGTGGTCAGAGGACAACAACTTGGCAGAAAAGAACTGCAACTACCAGTTGTCGCGCATGCACTTTTCCAACGGCAATGCTGGAGCATTGAATTGGTACTGTCTTGTTACGAGTTGGGTGTTGACCGGAATTAGTTTCTACACTTGAGGGTGGATTCTCAATTGAAGTGTGGGGTCCTCTTTTCATAACTTTTCATCAGCAGTGTGCTGCGGTAGATGATGGGTATTTGTTGAACTTGACTTTGATGTCAGGTTGACTGACGCAGATTTGGAGCGTCGTGTTCCTGCAGCAACTTACGAGGCTTGGAGCAAAAGAATTCTGAGAAGTGTTTTTTGCTCTAGATTTTGGCCTGGTTCTTTGACGGAGGCGTGGAAATACCTCGAGACCCTTACACTTTCACTAGGCGCACGCCTTTGGTTGCTCTGCGCACCTTTGGCTGCTCTCCTTGTGGTTTGTCACAAACACCCAAGCGTTTGTGGGCAAGGTTCAAAGGCAAATTTGCGACCTCACGTGATCGGAGCTGGTGTTTTGTATGGAAATGGCAAGTGCCTGAAGATTGATCTTTGTTCATTCCAACAGCCGCGGATTCTGATTTCCAGCTCTTGCAGCTTGACCACTTTTTCAGCTAAGGTGAAACAACCTTTAATGAGCTTTTCCAAGCTGTTGGGAACTCAGCGACGCTTGATTGTCAACGCACAGGATTACAATCCTCTCATGTCAATAGTGGAATGTCACTTATCAAAACACATGTGCTCATGGTTTACTATGAAATGCTAATGATGCATATTTGTTTAAGTTGCATTTCCAACAACTTATTGAGTGCTGTTGAGTTCACATCACCACAAAGCAAGCCGGACCGCTTTTGAGGCTTGGTTGACCCAGCCAATCCACAAGATCATTGCTCCAGGCTTGCTATTGCTGGCCTTGCGTGTGGTCTGAAAATGGTCCCAGACCTAAGGTGACAACTACATTCCTTGCGTCCACGTTCGAGACGTTAATGCCCCAGTTGCAGCTTTTGACCACCGATGGTATGCGTATGCTGAGTGCAGGTCGCGCGGTTGACCAGGGTAGTCGCTTCTGATCACACTGTTGGGTCCTACTTGCTGGCCCGTGTCCCAGAGATCGAGTGTTCCATGTTCAGTTCTGTTGCTGAACACGAGCAGAGGCTGTAGACCACTCTCGCCTGACTCAAGCCGACATTGTACAGGCTTGAAGCTGATTGCATGAACCTGTGCGTTTCCAAGCGACTGAAGCCACAGGGCATCATTGACCAAATCTCACATAAAAGGGAAGCGCAGGGAGCCCCAAATCCTTCAAACAACGCACCAAGAGGTGCATGAAGTGCAATACAGCGCGCCCTTTCAACAGACGAGATCTCGGCAGAGGCCTATATGCCCAGCGGAGGAGGTCGAGTCAGAGTTCAAAGAAGTCAGGACGACACAGTGGTTTGATTGTGTTTTGGAGCTCAACGAGACTCAAAGAGTAGCTCGTCGTTGGTAGCTAAGGTCATGTCCCTGGACATGATCCTTGAACCCTCTGAGCCGCTCAAGGCTGGTTGAGAGTTGTTTCAAGAACGGGGCCGTTGTTTTGACTTGAAGTTCTGAAGTCTTTCTGTCTTTTGGTCGCTGCCTCCAGAGCTTGAGCTTGACTAGTCGTGATTTGAAGGATCCTCAGTTCTCTTGGTGGTGCCGTGATGGGATCATCGCCAATATTGAGAAGGCCTTCAAGAATCAGAGTTCGATGTTTGCACTTTTAAACAGTTTAGCATGTATGTCCCAAATTTGATAAACTATCTTCTCTGAAGCGAGACCCTTCGCGCCAATTTGCCTAAGTTTGGATGTCCTTCTAATCAATTGTAAGGTGGCTGCGGAATTCTGCAAATGGCGCAATCTCCGACCCATCAAGATGGCTTCTTTGGCATGTTTGACAGTGTGGCTACAGAGTGTTTCACCCGCCGCCTCTGTTTGGAGCATCGCCCGACCCTAGTCACCAAGCAGCATCTGGTATCGTCCTCACTTAGCATCGCATATCCACAAAGCAGGTTGTGATTGGACCGCCTGGGTGTGGTGCCGAGCGCCTGTGTGACCGGACCTAAGCGGCCAAGTTCACCTGTTGAGCAATTACATCCATACTTTTGTATGATCATGGCCATCCATGCTCTGAATCCAGCACAGTCTCTCCATGTAACGTGCTTTCATGTTGAGGCTAGAGTGGCAGAGCGCTACTTGCACAAGGCTTGACATTTTATTGAATTTGGAATTGTTATGTATGAAACTTTGGAGGTAGCAGATATGGACGCTTTCATGATCTACTTTCTTGCTTTAACAGCCAGACCAAACTACTCCGTTGCATGATCAGAGCACTTCAGCATGTCAACTGGCCATTAAATCTATCCGTATGTATCTTGTGCCAGGAGCCGCCTCACCTTACCTACGATCAAATCATCAACGATGCTTGCTCTGCGCCAACAAGAGCAGCTCGAAAGCTCAGCAAGAAGGTGGGCCGGGTACTGCAAGGAAAGACAGGTTTGGCGATGTTCGACATGCCTAATCAATGGATCATGCCGTCATGCCGTGTTTTTTTCGCAAACATACTTGTTCCTACATGATTTGATCTACTCATCAGTGTACTGGAACCTACACGGATAATTTGCAGGCATATTGCTGTAGGTGTACTGCAGAGTTGTACGTGTAGCATTTGCGCCAAATAGCCCCATGACAAGAATTATATATTCACAATGTTTGATATAGTGTGTGTCTGAAGGATGTACCATTGTCGCAGTTTACAATATCGTAGTCATCAAGCCCATTATATAATGCTAGTTTGGTGCAATTCACACCAGATGTCTTGGCAAGTGCCTTGTCTTCAGAGAATTGATCTGCAGCAGTGCATGACATGAGCTGTAGAATAGCAATTCATTCTCCCCAATATGAAGTTGCCAACTGCAGAGGCACTTTCCTAATGGAAAGCCGTTTGAGAATGTGGTATTGAATCGTAGCACCAATCCGGTGTTGAACGTTTACGGCCCGTCACTTCACCCTTTAAAACATGTGGGATGCCCAGTTCAAGACTAGTTGCAGGTTCAGAAGCTCGCACAAAAGCCTGGCAAAAAGCTTCCTCTGAAGCTGAGGCAAGATCTAAGATGAAGTTGACGGGGTGGCTTTTGTCTTTTCCCTTTCATCGCACAAGAAAATACATGATGCCAGCTAGCAAAGCCAGGCGTAAGGTCAGACATTTCAGAAGGAATTTTCAGTACATCAGTATGAACCTTGCCCGGCACTCTCTTTTTTAATCATCTCTCTCTCTCTCTCTCTTTGTGCAGACAAACCCTTGTGCAGGACAAAGCTTGTGCAGAATCGCTTGCTCTCGAACGTTTGTTGAAGTCTTAGTTGCGACCGATGTGATGTGCCACTCCTGTGCCATTCCGGACGACTCTCCAAGGCCGATACCGTGGATACATCCTCGAGGGATATCCGACCACATTTGCAGAGGCTGAGGTGCTTTCCGGGGCTCACCAGCAGTGCAATTTGAAAAAGGCTTTGCGACAACGGCCTGAACGCGCTGCTAGGGCGCACAAAGGTAAATAACATATTGAAGTGTATCAGAGATAGAGGCTGTAGCTGCTTCTTCTGCTGCTGCACCACACTGACTACTCCTACTCCTCACTTTAAGTACTATATATGAGTTGCCCTTCAGGAAGTTGTCATCAACAAACATGGACAAAGCCATTCCCTGAGGCGCTTTTCATGGAGCGGGCCCGTGAAGAGGGAGAAGAGGAGGAGGAAGTCATGTCCTTGTTGTGACTTTTTAGCTATCAGGGTTTCATAGAGATCATTTTCAACTGAGATGATGGGTGAATGCCAATATGCGCCACCCAGAGCTTTGTGCGGCATCTCAGGCTGAAGCAGAAGAAGAAGGAGAAGAGGATGGAGAAGAGGCCGCAGCAAACTTGTGCGATTTTTGGGTGGGCGCTTGGTTAGTTCACGTGGGCTTTGCACCCCATGACCAATAATACCTGAATAACGTGTTCACCTTTTTTCTGTATGTATTCCGAGACTCCAAATTCGAGAGACACAAACTGGCTGTGAGTCCTGCAGGAAGAAGTTGAAGAAGAGGAAGAAGAGGAGCCTCCACCTCCGCCAGAGGACCAAGATGATGAAGAGGAGGAACAGAGGCAACGGGCAGTGTGTCATGTTGAGTGATATGTTGCACTGGTTGCACTGCAGCAATTGAGTCACTGGAGAACCTTCAGGCCAAAGTGGAGAGTCGCTGCAAGCTTGGCTCATGCCCTACTGTAGAGACCCGTAAATCAACGCTTGGAAAGGGGTCAATCTTCTAATCATATCCAATAAGAACAGCTCGAACTTCCAATAAGAGCTCTGTCTTCGGGTCTTTTCTTTAAGTCTTTGAGGTCCCTGAATATGGAGTGCTTGTCCAAAGTTCAGAGCCACGCTGCAAGGCCACGGTCGACCCGATCGGCTGGCTCAGATGACCGAAAAACGACCCGATCGGAGTGATCCGCGACCACTCATCCGACGGAAGTTGCGGAAGGCCAGAATCTTCGATGGGGAAGCCAAGGGTCCCAGCAACGAAGAGGAGCCATTTGGTCCCAAATCTTCGATGGGTCAACGATTCAACGATCATCACTTCATGGATTCTTCCGTTCCTCATCGACTTTCCTTTCGACGAAGATCACAGCTCTTCTTTGAATCAGGACTTTGCCAGGACTACAGAAGAGTATCGGAGCGCCAATCTCGCTGAGGATTGCTGACAAGCTATTCCTTTGATTTTGGCTATTTCATGATGTCCTGATTGGATGCCAGCTGTGTGGGGTTTTGTGCAGTACATTGTATTCTGAGTAGTCATTCTTTGTTTTCAGGATGGTACTCCTAGTACTGCTGAGTTCTTCTCCGAACAATGCAGCCTGAATGTGCGCCCTGAACGATGCCCGATATGTGTGTTGTTTGAAACAAACTCCAAGAGCTTTTGCGCTGAGATGCTGCCGATCGATCTTGATCAGTGCAGTGAAGAAGAGGCTTTTCAGGCGCTCCGGTTTTCAGTCGGTGGGCGGGCGTATTTGAAAGATCTGCACAGCGGCGTCCTTGCTGTTACCTGACTGTTCAGGTCTTGGGTGTCTTACCGTTGCCGGTGTCGAAACAACCCAACGGATGCCATTCCGTTGAGGCCATCCGGGTCCACCTGGAGTCCAAGGGCCAGTTCTTCAACTACCTCAGGTCGAGTCCTTTATGCTTCACCATCCGACGCGATTGGTCGAAAACAGCGAATGAAGCGCCTGATTTTGCGAGCTGTTCCTGACTTTCTGAACTCTGGGGTTCTATTCATAGATGTTTAGCTGGATCAGTTCCTGACAGGTCTGAGGAGGACCTTGTCCGTGAAGAGCAAGAAAAGCTGGCACGAATCGAGGAAGAGCGCGATAGCCTCAAGAAAAGATGTTTGGAGGACACTGCTTGGGATGCTCACGAGGTCGTGTCACGCTGTTGCAAATGCTGGGAGAGATATTGAGAAGCTTTGTCTCCTGGTTAAGTCAGATCCTTTTGACATCACTTAGGAAACTTGTGAAATGAACGCATGCACTAGATTGGAGTTTTGAGAGGAACACGCAGAAAAAGAAGCTGCCCTCCGGCAAAAGTTAGCGGATGAAGAGGAGAGCAGACGCAAGGCTTGGACGCTTGGCACTGGTCACTAGTGCCGTGGCCAAGCAGAGTTCGCCTTTGGTGAAGGTTATCGCGAAGAATGAAGCCGCCCATTTGGAACAAGAGGCGCCGCTCTGTTTTGCCTCCTTGCTCCTAGTAGTAAGGCCAGGAGCCCCTAGGCGCCGCTTTGTTTTGCCTCCACATGTTCCATGCCTGTCATCGATCAACTTTAGATTTAGATTGTGAAGGAAACATGCTGAGCAGTGACCACCTGACAGCATGCCATTGTTGCTGTCTGCAATTTGCCTGACCACCTGGCATTTGAACTCTGCACATTGATTGGTTAGGCCCGCCGTAGGCAAATGTTATCCCTTTCGACTACATGATGAACACTGTTCGACTAGATCCTGCAGACATTCGACGCTCTTTGCCCCAGTCTAGAGACTCTATATAGAGGTCTGCCAGGACAAATTTCTCGGGTCAGAAGTCCAGTTTTAAGTGTGACTCCAGCCTGATAAGCAGGGAACGAATCTCGTCTCCTGCCTTGCAACCAGCAACCACGAACTCAGAAGAACATTCACAGAGCCAGTGCATTGTTTGAAGAAAACATGTGCCTGTGCGACAGGCCCAGCCTTTGCGACAATACCTGATGAATGCCTGGCAAGTTTGTGAGGGGAAGATCAAGCTACCAAGCGACACTCTGATTTTCAGAGTGTTAGAGTGTTAGATGCACATTGAGTGTAGCCCTGATTGCCAGGGCTCATGTCGTTCCCACTCTGACTGCAGGGCTGACTGAGGCAGCTTGAAACGGGCTTTGGATGAGGGAACTTGTGCGGTGCTGTGATGAATCTGCTTGTGCTGTGCTGGCGATGAGGTTTGCAAGGAGCAACCTGAGGATCCGATTGAGTTCCTGGCGCAGTATTTGCTCCTTGGCGATGAGTCGATGAGCGTTTAAGATCCGGTGCTGTTTCCACTGTGTGCAGATCAAGGGCTGAGGGAAGCTGCTCTGGGTTTGTGCCCCCGTCATTGTGATGTCAGGTTTGCACATGCGCAGGTGCTCCGGCCATGCTCTTGTGCTCTTGTCAAGCAAACATTATCCAAACATTGACCCATCCCAACATTGACCCTGTCAGGAGGTGCAGTCAGCAGATTTGGGCGAGTGAAGCTTACCTGCCCAGGAAAGGTTTCACGTTTTCGAGCCAACGAAAGCTTTGGTTTCATCCTTCTTCGGCGTAAACATGCGCTGTGTCTCACAGCTCAGGCTTTAGAATTTACTTGTTCCAAGCGATATTCCTCTAAAGAGTGTCTGGTTTGCAGCAAAGCCTGAGTACGCTTGGTTTGTACATTTGGATGACGGGTGCACTTCCGTTAAGAGCAATGAATTGGAGCTCTGAAAGCGAGAGACAAATGAGAGTCAAAGCAGGCTAACCTACATGCCAGCAAGAAAATTATCCTGAGCAAGTCGAGCTGATCTTGTCGCAAAGTCTCAGTTCGAGTGGAATTTGTACTTAGACCCCAATCTTTTGTGCTCATGTACTTTGGCATATGCCATGGAATCCTTGGAGGAGAGCTAATTGATGTTGACATCCTGTAGTGTTTGGGCGAACATGTTGCACATGGGAAGCTAGCATCAGGGATATCTCCTGAGTCATGAGATATATCTATCTCTCTCATGTATATATGGCCAATTTTGCCGTCACTTAGGATCAATTGTGAATGGGACAGGTTCGCAACGGTTGCTAAACCTATTGCTTGCCAATATCCGCCACATTTCCCACATCCGACTTTAGGCGACCGACCTAGTTTGTTCGCTACGGAGCTCGCGAGTCGCAGGACGGAGCTCAAGTCCTTCTCGTGCGAGCAGTCGCTGCGCAGATGACAAGGTTGGTTGGGTGTGAAATGGGTCGAACGTGGAACACATGCGGCAAACCACATAGTAACTGTATGCAAGGCAGCTGAAAGTTTGATTTGCTATATTTTGCACAGTTCTTTTTTGATGCAAGACAGAGGAGACTGATATGAGTCAGAATGAATTCTGAACCTCTCCCCATGGAGCATTCAATTCAGCTACCTAGGTCTGGAGTTTTGATCCACAGCCGCGTGATTTGAACTCTCAGTTTTTGACTTCACAGGTGGTGCTGAGGAGTATTGGGCACACTCCAAGACCAGAGTTGAAGACAAGCAAGGACTAGGGCCGACTTGGGCTCCAACTTCGTACTGCATATTAGTATGGGTCCCAGGAACATGATGAAGATGCTAAGTTCCCTAAATATCTAGGAACCAAATCATGAGTGCACGAGCTCTCCTGCGTCCATATGAAGTAGCTAGGAGCGAACAAGTTTGTCCCTTACTTATAATATATATATATACATGTCACTGGAATTGTTTTCCAGTGCCACTGGTTGCTTCCTCGCCCAAACAAAGGTTCCTAACCTAACTACCTAACCTAAAGAAAGGGATCCCACCCTTCCCACGATAGGCGGGCCGCCGCCTTTTCCACCACTACCGTTGTCCTGCCATCAACCTTGAGCCAAACACATTGGTTGGCGTGATCTCGAATCCATGGTTGCTCATTCGAAGGTGACATGTCGAAGGCTTTCCCTGGTGCTCGATTCACATTCATTCTGTTTTCTTTTCGAATGAGACTCCTCAAAGGACTCAATCCATCGTGTGCTGAATTTTCGATTCGGACTGCTCTTTAGAGTGCTATCATCATCATAGATTCGAAACTTTCCAAGCATAAGAACCTTACGAAGAAATGCTGCATCCATTGGCTTCGTTAAACAGTCCGCCAACATTATTGCTGTCGATATCCATCGGCATTCTGTTGTTTCCGAGGATTGTTGTTTGATCAACATAACTTCAATCGTGGTTCTCCATTCTTGACAATTTGGGGTTGCCATCTTGTTCACCAAATCATATAAGCTTTTGCAATCTGTGATTAGGAGAGCCTTTGGTTCACCTCGTAGCGAAATTTCAGGCTTTTGCCATTGAAATCTTCCATCCTTAATATATGCCCACATGCATCGCAACCACGTGAGCTTGTCCAATGATGAGGACATTGCATAAGCCTCGGCACTTAAGGTGGATCTGACTACCCTGCTAATCTGTTTAGAATGCCAAGCTAGAGGTGAAATGTCCGAGATTTTGTTTTCTCCGAGATCCTTTGTGCATGCTGTTATGAATACACCTTGCTGTGCCCTCAGCTGTGATTCCGATGCAAAACTCGCGTCCCCGAAGCTGGCAAAGGTTAGCTGGTTCATTCTAATGGGTTGGACTAAGATTGCTGTATTGGCTGTCTCCTTAGCTTCTCTTAGTACCTTGTTTCCTTCTAGAAGATCTTGTACTCTTGCTTTGCAAATCTTCTTTTGTAAGAATGCTACTTTTGCCATCATATCTGGGCGTGAATGCACCGCTGCGTACTGCATGCTTCCGCACAGGGCTCGAAGCTGATGTAATTCTGCTTGGGTTACTTCTGCCTCTGGTTCTTTTCGTCGAATCTTTGGAACATCAATTTGTTCAATTTGATGGATATAGTCTTCTTGATCAATCTTTATCGAAAAGTCGGCTCTCTGCTCAATGGTAAGTCCTGTGAATTTGAATTTGGTGTACTCTCGGTTTCCGAAAGGCAGATGTTTTTCTACCCTGGCTAATGCCTGCTCGAATCGCTGATTGCCCCCTCCAATCCCGTCATCTACATGAGTTCCCAGGATTCCATCTAATTTGCTTGGGTCTTCACGGTCTCTCAAAAGAAATATGCAATTATCTAATGGGTGTGCTTCGAAACCCTCCGCTTCCAGCCTGCGACGGAATTCCTTATAGAAGAGTAAAGGAGCATCCACTCTTCCATATGCATTTCCTCGAAGCAGGAGCACATGTTCATTAGATAGCTGCAACAATTCTTTGAATTCCTGGACTGGTTGCATGGCTAGCTCTCTATCATCTGACTTGCCCCGCAAAAAGGCTGTTTTAATGTCGAATGATTGAACCTGCCAATGTAATGAGCTCACTGTTTGTAATATCATCATCCTGCCGTCTCGGGAAAGTGTGGGACTTTCTGTAGAGACTATCCCTACTTCGGGATCTTGGAATCCTCGGATTACTAGCCTTGCCTTGGGCTTTCGCCCGGTTGGTGATGTCAAGTCTTCTTTCCAAGTCAAAACCCATTTTGAGGACATGATCCGGCTGGGATGAATCCGGCTTCTAAGCAAAGGTTCCACTGTTTGTGTCTCAATCCAGCAATTTAATTCTTTTCTCTTAGCCTGGTCGAACTGCTTCTTTTCGGCTTCCGTGAGATTCCTGTATTGGACTTCGGTGTGGGTTTTCTTTACTGCTTTATTCAATGCTTCTGCATGAAAGCTGGGACATTTACAAAATTTTTCCAATCTTTTCATCGGAACTACTACCTCAAATGTACACACTTGAGCTTGTGCATCATCGGTGGCTTCATTACTCCAGAGAGTACCCCTGTCCTCGATGATTGCTTCCCCTGAATTCACCCCTTCAACTATCAATGCATTGTACACTGTTGAATCCCCTTCTGATTCAAGTGTCGGTTCAACCCCTTCAGGATTTTCGGTAGGTGTATAGTCTTCTCTGAGTTCCTCATCGGCTGTGGGGTCAATCACTGGGATGAGGCTGGCATCTAGTCCGGGCGGCTGCTCAATTTGGGAACCTGTGCATGAGTTCCTACGAACTGGCTCTTCTTCTGGCTGACCTGCTCGCGGTTCCTCTGCTTCGGCTGGCTCACTTGGGCGATCATCGGCTTGATCAGTTAGATCTGAAAATTGGAACATACCACTCCTTTCTTTCAGTTGTTCTTTCAAGCGATTTGCCATGGCTTGGAGTTTCTGCTGGCTATCGGTTTGGCTGAATCCATGATGGTTTTGAAACTCCCTTAGTGATACCGATCTCATATTTTCCCTTGCTACTCGGAGGAGTCGATTTAGATGAGTTACCCAAATGATTGTGCGTGATTCGTTCATGATGACTTGACAGGGTCCGACCCATCGACCTTTCTCTAGCATGTTCGGAGCTTTGCGACGATCCCAAATCATGCACAGCTCTCCGCATTTCCAGTCGTGTTCACGACCTCTTGACTGCCTAAGCAATGCTCTTCGAATTGCGCTGGAATTGTCTGCATCAAGGAGTGCTTTTCGGGCTTCAGTACGAATTGACATCTTTTTCTGGAAGAGGTCGGACTGGGTTTCGCCACTTTCTTCCAACGAATGAGTGATTGTTGATTCATCACTGCATACTGAACCCGGTAGTCTCCTTGCTCGGCCTAGGACTGCTTGCTCTGGACTAAACCCTTTTGCTACACTCATGCTGTTTTTGGCTTGAAAACACTGTTCTAGAGCATAGTCGAAATCCTTGTCGCTTTTAATCGGAGAATGATTGTCTATTCTGCTTAGCATTTCTTTCACTGTTCCTCCATGCCTTTCTATGCGACCCCTCTGCCATGGTGCTGCTGATGTCACGGACTGAATCCCTTCTTGTTGCAACATGTCTTTCCAATGTTGACTGACAAATTCTCCTGCTAAGTCGTGGACTATCACTTGTGGGGGTCCGGCCCAGTGCATCCATGTTTCTCGAATGACTCGTTCTGCTTCTTCTGTTCCCCTCTGACACCTTCTTCCTAAGTGGAAATGAGTAGCTTCGTCAAAGACGTGAATCACATAAAACTTGGTTCCCTCACTGTTCTTCCATTCAAAGCCGTCTAGGGTTATCACTTCATTAAACTCCTTTGGCTCTTTCAATTTTCCGGGGGATGTCAATTTTGGTGGAACCCTCTCAGAACATGACTGGCACAGAAAGTCTCCTGCTCCATCTACTACCTCTTGTGTGAACCCCAACTTCTTTAGATGTGTTGCAAGTTTTTCTGCTGTCGGATGTCCTAAGTTGTTATGCATCCTTTGAATCAATGACCTTTGGAAGCTATCTAGTGCCAAGTACTTGGGACCTGGATTGTTTGATGCCTGGGGTGACCATGCTGGGACCTCGACGGGTGGTCCCTTGCTTTCGGCTCGAATTGGCTCAACCTCTTGGCTGACTTTGGAACTCGGCTCAACGGGCGCTGGCTCTATGGCAAATGGTGGAGGGACTGCTGCCTCTGACTCTCCGGATCGAACGGGGTCAAGCTTCCTGCCTTCTGGCTCTTCGTGAACCATGGTTCCAAACATGCAAATCATGATGTGACTGGGCATGGCTGTTCTTCTCTGGTTCCTTAAGGTTTGCTTTGTCCAATTCTCTTCTCCTAGATCGAAAACTTGTTTTGTCTTTCTGCATTGGCATATGGTTTTCCTCATCTCTGATGACGTTTGGCTTGTTAAGTATCTATCCATACCTTTTCCTGCTTGAATTTGTTTCACTTCGAAGCTGCATAGACTTGCTAGATACTTGCCTGGCCATTCTAGCAGGGAGATCTCAACGGATCCGGACTTAGGCAGTTTCTTTTGCATCCACTCGAAGACTTCCTCCCAGACAGGGTCGGTCAATTCGACTCTTTCTGTATCCTCGGGAGCTGTCTTCCTTTTGGGCTCGCGTGGTGACGAAATTCGAGCACGCTTTGCTGGCTGTTCCTCACCTTCTGCGGGAAACAATTCACATAAGTCCTCTTCCGAAATCAATGGAATTTGTGATTTCTCTTTCTCCTGCAAAATGCTCTTGGCTGCTGCTCTAGCAAAAATCTTTGGGTAAAATGCTGCAAACCGAGACAACGCCATGCGACTGCCGTGGACCTTACACGACCCTGCTATTTGCGAATGCTCGTGCTCTCTGGTGCAGAATCTACCATCTAGGCTTCTCACGACACTATTTGAGGTGGTTTGAAGTCTAGTGTACTTCTTCATTGGACGATGATCTTCTGGATGAATCAAACCAAACCTACATTGATCTAGGTTGACTGTCTTGGTTAGTGCCAATATGTCTTTTACCTGCGGCTGGTTCCACATATCTGACGTGCCTGGGTTCTCCATAGTGAAGTGTCGATGGTGGTATACTTGGATTTTGCATAACAACGAGCAAAGTTCTAGATGTTGCTTGGAAAGTTCACGGCTCTGTTGGATTTTCTCATAACACTTCATGCTTCGGCTTGCATTGAAACGATTCCAAGCGCACCACGGGTGGCACTCTGGAGCTACCCAAATGTTCTTAGGTCGCAGCCTGAAAATCATTCGAAGCAATTGTATCTGCCCTTCAAAAGTTGACAAGTCTCCATGATCAATCGTGAATCTTTCTGCCCTCCCCCTTGTCGAATCACTTCTTCGGACAAACGACTGTTGGGTTGTGCATACACTTCTAACAAGTCAACCTGTTTACCGAATGCTTTGTGGTTGGTTTCGGCTCGGATGGCTTTCAACAATTTGGCTTCGAATTCCGTTTCAACTACTATCTGAGTATCCATGGCCAAAACCTCCCACTCTAGAACCCCTGGCTCTGATGCAATTGTTCCTCCATCTGGCGGCGAGTTTGGCAATAGCGAGCGAAATCGGCGATTGGTGCATCCAATGAATTGATCCTGCTCAGACACCATTGAACATACTGGCTGTCCACTTCGTACACAAGGGTGAATGTCTTGCCGGGGTGCTTCTTTCCCCAAGTCACCTTCTTTTGGCCCCATTGATCCATTGCTGTGGCTGTCCATGCCAGACTTTGCCCTTGGATCTGCGGCTGAGTTGTCGACTCTTCTCCGATCGGCTGACGGTTCATTCGCAATGGGCTTCCAGGAGCCGTGGGTCCAACCAGACTTGCTACCCACTTTGTTGGCGTCGATGGTGAAGGAAGGCTTCCCTTTCCGGCTGCACTCGACTTGACCTTCTGCTGAGGCGTCGTTGGTGCCTGAGATCTCATGGTTGCGGCTGATGACCTGCCACTCGTGATCGGAGGTGGCATCGGTTGCTGGAAAACCCGAACTTCCTGATCCCAGACTTCCAAGTCGCTTTCTGAAAGGATCACAAGGCCGTCTTCGGTCTTTCGCGGTGAAATGTTCTGCTTCATCATGAATGCCAGTTCTTCGATCTTCTCCTTTTGCGACTGGACTTCGGTCAGAAGTTCGTTCATCATCACCGCTTGGTCCTGCGGGACCTCTTGCTCTGACACCTGAGTTGCCACCTGGTTGAGGAGGATGGCTAGGAGGGTCTTGAGGCTCTGCATCACGTTCTCCGCAATCGATTTCACCATGCTCATCATGTCTCCGCGAGTTGGCATCGCTCAGACAATCTAATGAACTTACTCGCTTTTCACAACTCGCACCAAAAATGCTCTCGAAATTCGGCTCTGGATTACACAGATCTTGCATTCGAATCATGAGGAGTCCGGTTTTGGCTTCGTGCAGTGGGATGTTCCTGTTTAATGCTTTCAAATGACATGAACTCTTCTGCAAATCAATCACTGCACCTAACTGCCTCATAGTCTGGATCGAAAGCAGGAACGGGGTGGCCTTTGGAACAACCTCTACTATCAACCACATTCGAGTCTTTCGAAATTCGATCGGAATATGGATCTGTTTATAGCTATATTCTATCTGGTTGTTTCCGAATCGAAATGCGACTCTGCTTGCACGATCTTTCACTCGATCTCGGACGGTGATCGGCAGTTGTCCAAGGAGCATCGGAAGGTTGTCTTCACCGATTACGCTCCGGCTGGCACCTGTGTCTAAAATTGCCATGCCGTTCGTTCGAAAGCCGAGGGACTCTCCGGATTTACTGGTGAGCCCAGTGGCGAGCAAAGGCTTTTGCTGCGTCGGCTGAGGATTGTGCTTCCTGACGATCGAATCGAACACTCGGTTTCGTTTTGCAAAAAATGTCTGAGTCTGCTTAATTACCTCTTCTGCAAATAATGCTTCAACGATTGGCTCTGGCTCGAAAGGCTTTGGTTCGGCAAAACACATATGGCTTTTGGATTTGAACCCAACCCCAAACCCGACCTCGGCTTCGGAATCGATCTCTTCGAAAAGCACTTGTGCAGCTGCCTCATTCTCTTCCATCTCATGAGCTGAAGCCACGTTGGCCTGGCTTTCTTTCAGGCGTTGAGGACATTCCGCCTTCCAGTGGCCAAGCTCTCCACATCGCTTGCAGTGGGTGCGAGCAATCCTGTTCAGCAGCTCATCTTTTCCTTTCGAACCACCTTTTCTGAATCCTTTGGGCCCAAAGGAACTAGACCCTTTTCCAGATTTGCTCAAGCCTTTGATCGGCCAGAATCCACGATTGCGCTTGCGCTCCACAATGCGGCCACGGGCCTCTTGGTAGCTCAGCAAAGCTTGATGAAGATCTGGAATTTCTTGGAAAAGTTCTGTCAACTCCTTCTCAAATCCTTGAACTGTCAGTGCATCGGCATCTCCGGTCGTTGCCAACTGTTCCAACAATTCTGTAGGGACTTCGTCATCTTCTCCTTGGGCTGCATACAGACTCTGATCGGTACCAAAATGGTCTACCGAATCTCCGGGTGAGTCTTGTGGATCCTCAACGTAATTTGTTGGGTAGACTTTCTTTCTCTCTTGCAATGAACCAGTGAGAACACTTGTTGAAAGACTGCGCATGGCCTTTTCAATTGCTCGTTCATCAAATGCTCCGTTGGTCATAGTCAAAACTTTCTTCTTGTCCTCATGCCCCAAATTGCTCTGCTTCAGCAACACAAAGGCCTTGATGGCCTTCAGAGTGGTTTCAGGGCCTACATCTTCAAAGGCCACGTCCAACCTGTTGACAAATGACTGAGTACTTTCATCACTCTTCTGTGTAGTCCTGTAGATTGCTTTGTCAAAAAGTTCGAACGTGTTCAGCTCGGCGCTCTCTTCCCACGATGACAATGCGGCCAGCAGGCTTCTCACACCTGTATCAGGATTGGTCAGTTGATCGGCCTTGATCGATCGAACCTGGTGCCACGCTGTACCCTTGCATAACATCGCTAAACGAGGTGCCAGCATATTGCGATCTTTCTTTGGGCATATGCCATCAACAAATTTCACCTTTGCAACATACTCCTTGATGTCGTCTTGGCTGGGGTCGAAACTCGGCAGTAATGACCAGATCGCAGAATTCTTTTCTTCGGATCCCATGGCTTGCTAGCGTCCTACACTAGGCCAACCTGGGCTCCGCTACCAATGTCACTGGAATTGTTTTCCAGTGCCACTGGTTGCTTCCTCGCCCAAACAAAGGTTCCTAACCTAACTACCTAACCTAAAGAAAGGGATCCCACCCTTCCCACGATAGGCGGGCCGCCGCCTTTTCCACCACTACCGTTGTCCTGCCATCAACCTTGAGCCAAACACATTGGTTGGCGTGATCTCGAATCCATGGTTGCTCATTCGAAGGTGACATGTCGAAGGCTTTCCCTGGTGCTCGATTCACATATACATAAGACAGCACGCTCCTACTTAATCAAGTAAGGGCGAGCAAAAAAGAACATGTATATGTATACAACTATAATTGTAAGAATGATACTAACCGCCCTGCTCAAAAACAATGTTCCAGGAAACCGCGCCTTACATCGACTCGCATCAACAGGGTTTTGATCCAACCTGGATTCCCCGAGCGACCAGGTCCGACCGTCCGTGTGTGTTTTGCGCGGTCGACCGTCACGGGTCCGACCTGAAAATGGTCAGATGTGGGTCAGAAGTTCAAAAGCACAGAGATTCAAGAGGATTTAGCCGGAACTTGGAGAAGTGCGATGTCAAGGCACTTCTGACTCACAGGATTTGACCAGCTTTGCATTATTATTCTTTTTTACATGTTGCAAATGGACCTGCTTTTTGGCAGCCAGGATGTGTCTTTGGCAATCAGTGCTTTGGGAAGAAAGAAGTTGTGGGCAGAAGCTGTAAGGCTGCTCTTTGACTCTCTCGAACAGAGTATTCAAATCAATGTGATCGTCCTGAACTCGGCTGTTTCCGCTTGTCAGCGTGGGCAAGAATGGCCGACCGCATTGAAGCTCGTCGCTGATGCGGTTTTACACTGGGACTGGTTGCATCCTGACATTGTTTCGTTCAACTCCATTGCTTCAGGGTTTTCTGTGCAAGGCTGCTGGGAGGTGGCCCTTGCCATTTTTGATTTCGCTCAGAAGAGCCAACTTCAACTTGATCAGCGAAGTTACACAAGTGTGTTACAAGCTTGTTCTTCTGGCCGTTGGGATGTATCCATGCTGATTCTCCATGATATGCTGCAGCATGCAGTGCAGGCTGACGCGTTTGTTTCCGCTGCAGCCGTCTCCTCTTGTGACACGAACTGGGAGCTCGCCCTGAGCCTTCTCACATCCTTACAATGCTTAGAGCAAGTCGACCAGCATGATTCCAATTGGCAGTCAGCGTCAAAAGACAATTGGCAGGTGCCTGTTTCAAGCGCCATCAATGTTTGTGGCTTTGCTGGTCAGTGGACCATCGCCTTAGGGCTTTTTGCCACGATGCTGGAGAGATCCAAGCTCCCAAATGTGGTCACCTACGGGACTGTGATGAGTTCTTTGGAGCGAAGCTGTCGCTGGGCAGAAGTGCTGGAACTTTGGGATGGTTTGTGCCAGGTTGGCATTGAAAGAAACGTTTACATCTACAGTGTAGTCATGGGATCGCTGGAGAAAGCATCCCTGTGGGGTATGGCCTGTGGGATGTTCGTGGAGATGAAGCGGTCAGCAATTCCTCCGACATCTGTCAGCTATGATGTCCTGATGCGTTCATGTCGGCGTGCAGGGTGGCAAAGGGCTTTTTCCCTCTTGGACTCAATGCAAGAAGACAGCGTCAAGGTGACGGTGAGGACTTTGAATGCTGCCCTCAGTGTTCTCGAAGCAGAGAACTTGTGGGCTGTATCGCTTCACCTTTTAAGGCTGGCGATTTTGTGTGGGAGTGTGGAGAAATATCATGTGCAGCGGCCCACCTGTTTCTTTTGGTCCCTTCATATTGACACACTATGTCACTGTGTGAATATCCAACATGTTTATCACCTAGATACACAGATGCTTACATGACATTGTCTAAGCCCGACTGAGGAGCATGAAAGGCATCGGAGTGGAAGCTGACATTGCCTCTTATAGCACCGTGGCAAGCACATGTGCAGCAACAGATGCCTGGCAGCTGTCCATAAACTTCTTGGAGGAGGCGCGGACGGCCAAACTGGAGCTCGACACGATATTTGCGGGCGTTTCAATCTGGGCGTGCGAAAAGGGCTCTCGGTGGCAGCAAGCACTGGGTACGTTGATGGACATGGCTTCAAGAGCTGTGAAACTGAGTGAGATCTCCTTGAGTTCGGTTTTGCGAGGTTGTCAGAGTGCAGGAAGGTGGGAGGAGGCTTTGAGCATTCTTTTTGCAGCTTTGGAATGGAGAGCACCCATGGGTGTGGGAATGTACAACGCCGCCTTAGGGGCCTGTTCTTCTTCAAGGTCTTGGGAACGGGTGGTGAGCCTTTTCGAGACAGCACGTAGCTTCCACCTGCAACCTGATGCAGTTACTCTGACTACGCTGATGTCGGCTTATGAGACTGGTTTTCAGTGGCAATTCGCCGTGTGCACGCTTGTTTCATTTTGGGAGGAGCAGATTGAATTGGATGCTACAGCATGCAATGTCGCAACATCAAGCTGCGCTTCATTGCAGAAGTGGCGTGCTGCCTTAGCTCTTGTGGATTGGATGGGAAGCCTCAACACCGTTCGTCCTGATCTGATCACATACAACACGTTGCTGGGCTCATGCAATCAGCAAGAGAGTTGGCAAGTCTCCTTGTTGTTGCTTGAGAAGATCCGTCAACGTTTCCGGCCAGACCTTACCACCTACCATGCTGTCTTGGAAGCTTGTGCTATCGGCCACGCATGGGCAACCTCACTTCAGATTCTGGAAGAGATCATATTTGCATCCTTGCCAAGTGGCATTGGAAGAAACTTAGCCGCATCAGCATGCCGATCTGCAAACCAAATCGACCAGGCCAAGCTGCTCCTGTTGGAGAATCTACAATTCGACAGTCCAGATGTGGTGACTTTCAAGGCAATCTTGGGACTTGCAGAATCGGGTGATATGACTAGTCAAGCCCCGTACTGCTTGGAAGCCTTGGGTTTTTGTGCAGGTTCTAACTTAATGGAAAAGCCAGAGGCTATGGTAGCTACCCACTCCCATTCGGATATGTTGGGACCCGCGCAAGCTGTGGTGGCGGTGGAGATGTTGGACTGGCATCAGTACCTGCACGCTGAGCTTTATGAAAGGCTGGTGCGGCAAGTGGGAGCTCCAGCAAGGAAAGAATTGCACAAGCTGTGTGAAGTGACTCCCCAGGGCAACTTGGGTGGGTACAAAACAAGGCTGCAGAACCAGATACTTGAAAGGCAGTTTGGTTTGAGTCCTCCACTTTCTCTCAGCATCCTTGCTGGCCTCAACAGCACTGAAGCGGTTGACACTTGGTGTGCCTTTGCTCGATTCAGCACCCGTGGCTTCTCGCACTTCACGGAGATTTCCCTGGAGGAGGAACCCACCTCCAAGGACTTAGCAGCTTGGGCCTCCTGGTCACTGCTCTGCTCGGTTTCACGAAGTACACGTCAGGGCTATGGCTCAGATCCGAGGACCCGACCGTGGATGCTTCTCCCCTTACAGGTGCAGCATGATCGCAGTCCCCATGCAGAGCGGCAACTGCTCTTAGCCATTCTGAAGACGTGCCACGGCTCGACTGGCCCGCGAGAAATCTTCGGCACGAGCGCAGCGAGTTCTTCGCGCGGCGAGTCGGCTCTTTTGCGCGCTTTCGGAGACGAAGCAGCAACGAATCTCAACCGCTGCTCTTTTTGGCTGTAGCGAATTCAGCATTCTGGGCCCATTTGATGTGGGTGTCCAGCCAGATATGGTGGAACAGACCTGAGAGGCCAAAGGATTATGGGTGAGAACCTAGAAGTCCTTCAAAATGCATCCTTTTCAAGGTGGATGGGGTATATACATGGCAGGTTGACTACATGTTGTACGAATCCTTGTGACTTGTTTTGCTTTCTGAGGCCAGTGAGGTCTCCAATGATCTGAGCTTGTCTAACAAGGCGTTTCTGGTGTTGGGAAAGTTCTTCGAGCGCTGAGATGTTTCGACCCGAAGCCGCTAAGCTGTGGAGCGCGAGGGGCTTCTGAGCACGATTGACGGACATAACTGACATAACTTCTATGAATTTCAGCTTCGGAGAGGATCTTCTTTTCAAGACTGTCACAGGAGTCTCCCAAACTCGGGTCCAGATGCCTTGCATCTACTTTGGAATACAGAAACCCAGAGCCACAGATTCTTCCGTTCTGCAGGTCTTGTTTCGGGGTGTACCTGAAAGCTGCAGCAGTGAGGACATGGTGCTGAATTTGGCATCCAACGCTTAACATGCATACACTGCAACAACTCTGCTTTCCAAGAGGATGTCTCAGCTTTGCTGCAGAAGTTCGGGTCAAGTCCTTGGCTGCAAGTGCTTGTCAACATGCTAAAATCATTTCCTCCTTTTCATCGACAGTCACATGCATTGAACACCTACACACCTCGGACTAACCCAGTCTGCTCGGACTTCGTTTTAAGGCCCCTTGAGTGCATTTGCTACGAGAAGGGTTGGCCTCTTAGATTTGCCGTTGGAGCAGACCCCGTGGGCATCCGAGCTTAGCTGGCACGTTGGAGTCCCTTCAGGTCATGGTAGTGGATCTGCTGAGTTCCTCTTCTGTGGCTCTGCGGAGAGTGCTGAGGAAGAGTCAAAGAGGCGGATAGGGAGCTGAAGTGTACCTGAGAAATTGGACACAATGAAGAGACATACCTCTTTAGATCGTTTGTTTTCTTAGACTTTAACATATAAAACCCTTGTATTCTTTCCTTTAGACATTTTTTTAAGGACCTTCTTTTGTGAGGCCAGACTCTTCACTTGCCTTGGGTGGTGAGAATCTCAGATATAATACATTGACCAACCGCATGGCCGCGCTCATGTCACCGAGGCAAGCGAGTGGAAATCATTCGTGGTGCACCACGATGGTCTGGGAGCACTGACACAGGCAACGGAATGGCCGACACAGCTCCGACACATGCCGAAAGCTTTTTGAAGACGACCGGCCGAAAGCTTTTTGAAGAAGTTTGCATGTCAGAATGTCCATCCTTGTCGCCATTTCCGCTACGCCACTACGCAGTGAAAGCAACGCTGTGAGTTTGTGAGGTGCTTTCCAGCAAGCCTTTGTGACGCCCACGCAAAGTAAAGAATCTCTGGACTGAAGTCTTTTTTTAGCTTTTACGATTGCAACCACTGCCACGACTGCTATCCTTCATTTCAAGCAGCTTCAGCATCGCTAGGATGTGGTTATTGTTCGCGGTCAGTCCTCTTCGGCTGGCATTGGCATGGTGGCTGAGCTGGTGCCTTTGCACGGTTGCGAACGCTAATAGCAGACTTGGCACTGCATGTAGTGACAGGCGAAGACCAAGACTACGACCATTGTGATTTGGGATAGGCATCACAAGCAACGAGATGAAAGCAAGGCATGCGGGTTTGGGGCCAGTTCTGATCTGAAATAAAGGCAAAACTCGTCTTCTGAATCGTCTTGACCTTCTTCACCAGGTGGTTTCCTAGTTGTGAGGGATAAATGCAATTTTGGCACCCACACTCAGACAACTGTATAGCAGTTTCGTCTGTGGACTGTCAGTGAAGGTAGCCTCATCTGTGAAGAAAAAGACATTCACAGAAGTGTTTGCCGAGCAGGGGCTGCTTTCTCAGTCAGCAAGACCAGGGAAGTTCGTGCACAAGGAAGACGGGTGATTTTCTAAGCATCCAAGGCCAGACAAGGCAGTCATGCAGAAGGCCGAGGAATTCTTTTCTGCATCAATCTTAGATGAAACCAGCACGATCCCGATTTCTTAAGCACCGAACGGAGTCAAGCCCGATTTTTGTTGCCCTAATTAAGCTTTTACACTTGGCCACACTGAGGTAGGTGCACCAAAGTGTGCTCTTGTGCTCCCTGGTTGCAGATCATTTCTTGTCGACCTGAGTACTGAAAGCTGTACACTCAAACTGCCTGACCTGGCTTCATGCTGCATACTTCTTATAGGAGTCCTTGATTTGTTCTTTTGGGGAGGAAGGCGTTGCAGATCTTTGCAGCTGAGGCACCTAGCAGAGGAACAGCTGAAAACCGAAGCAGAGCTGGAAAGACCCCTGTCAAAGGCTTGTCATTCTGATACAGCCTGGAACTACGCCAACTGCGCGATAGAAAAACCACCGGGAGACGGCCGTCTCCGACGTGGGCAGGTCAACGACCTCATGGATTCGTGCAGACACAATCACCTGGAGACGATTGCAAACTTTAATGTCTTCAAGATCTACAAGCCGCTTGTCTCATATGGCACTTTTTTGGGCCTGTGAATGTGTGAATCAATATTTATAAAGACCAAGAACGTTAGTTGTAATTTGCTTGCTTTTTGATCTGGCAGACTGAATGCTTGCATGGATAGCAATTACTCTTTCAGAGAAAGTAAGTCTCACAAGACCCCAGTCGGAAGTGGTCAGAGTTGATGTCCCGTGTTTACATCTGCAACGCTTTTTCGAGGCCCTGGATTCATGCGAATCGAGCGTGCACCTTCGTATTAATACCACCAAAGCTGTGTCGATGCCTCAGGGCCCAGCCAATCACGTCCTGAAAGAAACCAGTGCCGATCAGAAAACAGATCAGACGATCCGGATTTTTGGATATGTTATAAGCCGTGATGTTTTATGTTCGGAATGGTTCTATGTTCGTAAGCTGCTCTATGGCTTATGACTTGATGAAAAACATGCCACCATATCGCAGGTTGGGAGTGGGATGACGATCTTGCAACCTGCACTGTGGGGCACGGAACTGAAGTCACACTGATGTCACCTGACATTGTAGGACAGTAATCATCCACCATGAATGTTCATCATAGAATCATCAATCATTTACGAACATTTGTCTTTCTTTTGTCATTCCGTTTTGGGCCATTCCTTTTGGCCGCCCAGATCGAGACGTATTGTACGATCTGATCCTGTCCGATTGCAGCGAGCTCGGACATACATCCGTCCGACTTCCACACACGAAGACCTGCTGAAGACTTGCTCCTTTTCCTTTGGAAGTCGTCGTCACAACTGCATTTAATCGTATAGAGTCTAGATTGATTCTAAGGCTAAGCAGCAAAACAGAGGTATTTACATAAGGCTTCTCATGTCGAGCACTGACAAATGACCCAAAACTGTTTCGATCGAGATAAAAGACTGCTCGACCAAGCACAGACAGGCAGTCACACACACATACACACACGGCGCGCACACACACAAACAGTTAACCTTGCCCGGGTAGTGAGTTTTGTGGTGGGTGCCGGGCAGGATTGACCTGGAGCAGCATTTGACAATGCTTTCTCTTGAGATTTTGAGATTGTTGTTTCCAATCAAGTTATCGCCTGCTGGGATGTCTCTAGTCATGAGGCCTGATGGGTCTGGCTGGACCGTGGGCTTGCAAATGACCCATTCTTCCGCAAGCGTCAATGCAGCTGAATCCCAAGATTCCAAGCGGAGAGATGAAGCGATGCACCGGAGCCACAGATGCACTGCCTGATTGGCCGCAGGTGCTAGCATCTGCAACAGTCATGAGCGTGGTCTTGGGCGATGATGCAGCAAAGCAGGGTCCTTTCAAGAATCTTCCGATGAGTTCACCTTCGCTGAGTTAGCTCATTCAATTCTGAGGTTTCGGTCAGTTTTTGTTTGGAAGCTGAGGCACAGCTTGGCTGGACGATGCTTGGAGTTGAGTATGACCTGCTCTCAGCAGTTCAAGAAGCAAGTCATACGTTGGTTGATCGCACGCTCAGTTCGTGTTTTTCAAAAAACCAAAGAGATGTGAAGCCCAAGGCCAGTCTTTACTTCCTGGGCAAAGGAAGATGTCGGGCTCTAAGAGCAGATGCTGAGCTTGCTCGTTCTTCAATGAATCTCCCCGTGAGGCCTGAGATTCGGTATGAGAGATTGGCGCGTGGATGCGTGTTGAGAACCGCATAGGGAACGATGGAGAGCAACAGTGAAGGAAGGAAAACGATCAGGTCAGAAACCAAGACCTCCATGTGAGATCATGTGAGCATCTTCCTCCGAAAAGCCAAATGGCTTTCAAAGCAAGTTCGGCGTGAACGCAAAAAGGCCAGTGGGACTTGAAAGCGCTTGTTGTGGGTTTTGCCAACCATTTGGTAATTGGACAATGCCAATGCATCAATTTGTGGAGAGAAGCTGAGCCTCGCAGCTGTTTTGGACATGGAGAGTGGCCGTCTGGGGGGGCGGAGGCCGAAGGAGGCCGAAGGGCCTCAAAGGAGGCGCCAGAGAGTTTCTGTTTGAACGGAGCGCCCAGCTGTTCCTTCCTTTGCTGGTCAGGACAGCACAGCTGGTGTGATGAGAGGCGACCTTTCAAACATGGTTCGACAGCACGTTTTGCTAAGAAGTAAGAAGACTCTCAAAAAGCTCAACTGGTTTGTAAAACGGTTCCTATGATAGCATGTTGACGATTCATGAAACATGCTGTGTGTTTTCACAGCAGGGTGGTGCGCTCTGGCACTCCTCTTCATTTGCACCAATGCAGATGAGGGGCAGTGTGTCCATGTGTGTCTGGCTCGATTAGGTTCTCTGAGACTGGGAACGGCTCGTGGGCTCGTGAAGTGCTGCTGGTAAGAGAGTGCCCGCACTGCAGGCCTTACTTCCTCCTGGCTTCAACTTGAGTGGAAGGCTCCTCCTACCACAGGCCATGGTGCCCATTTGTCGCCAGGCAAAACAAAACTTGGATCATGCGCGCCGAAGAAGGTATCCTGTGTCTAAGAAAGTCATCTAAGGTACCACCACAACGACCACATGCTCGACCACCTCAACAAGCTCCAGCAGCAGAAGTCACACAACAACCACGCGAACATCGACTAGCTCCACTTCACAGAGCCCATCTCAGCTGTTGCAAACTCGTTGGTTCTCGAACGGAACACATTGGAACGATGCCAGAAGGCTTCTGAATCCTTTAAGGACCACCCTATCGAGTTCCACCACTTCTACACCAACATCGCTGACTTCCAGCACGTCCTCGTCCAGTTCAGGACTGGGTTTTTGGGGAGGTGTATAGGTGTATAGCACCTAGACCAATGATGAGCAATGCCCGCAAGGTACAGACACAACTTCCATCTCATGGACATGGACGACCACCACTTCCACTGCAACAGCCTTATAGACACAGGGAAAGTTGACCGAGTCTCCGAGTGTTCTCTTTCGAACCAACGGCTCGGCCGAACCCCCCAAAAGTCCCTGAAGTGTGTTTTCTCTTCAAGATGAACATGGTGTTCCTAGTAGCATCCTTGCTCCTAGTAGTACGGCCAGGAGCCCCGAACGTAGCGTTCTTGCTCCTAGTAGCGATGCCCTTTGCTCCTAGTAGCGTCATTTAACATCTGATTTATCATTTACCGGGTGTTTTATGGATTTTACATGTTCCTCGGTTGCGCTCTCAATGCTGCCTGATGTTCACAAGTTTTACCGGGAGCCTTCATCCAAGGCATCAACTTCGGCCACGACCAGAACGAGCACGTCTAGCACAACAGGGAACCAAACTACCTCAACCACAACTGTGACCACAAGCATAACCTACACAGGCACATCAAGTTCTTTCACATTTTCGACTGTAACACAAACTACAAGCAATTCAACAAGCACCAGCATGACTGTGATCACCAGCACGACGTCCTCTTTGAGCTACACTACTAGCACACCAAAATCTAGTACATCCACTGCAGTGACTTCAAGCTCGAGCTCGTCCACGTCTACCTCAACATCGACGACGACAAGCTCGTCAACGTCAACAACAAGCAGCACCAGCTCATCGAGCTTCACCAAAACTAGTGCCACTTCAACTTCTGTCTCGTCAAGCAGCAGCACTGTCTCCACAATCACTGTCACGCGGTCTACTCAGACCAGCACTTCCAGTACAAGGACTGCCACCTCCAAGTCTACTACAAGCTCCACCCAGTCAAGGTCATCCACAACTAGCGTAAGCACCACATCAACCAGTGCAACCACACTGAGCACCAGCACAACTAGAACCTCAAGCGTCACCTCGTCATCCTCCACTTCCACCTCAACGTCTTCCTCTTCATCCAGCACAACAACAACTCGTGCTTGGTGCCAGAGCTTTCTGCCAGGCATACCACCCTTGCAAGACGACAACTGCACTGAGCTTCAGGAAGGGGACATTTGCTTTGCAGTGCCAGTGAACAAAGCAGAAAATGAAACAGATAACATCACTGAATACAACATGAGTGATGCTTTTGGATGCTATGCCACAAGGGCTTCAGAGTTGTTGTGTGCACGTTCTGGTGTGGCTTTGCCGATCTCACAGACGATCCGATGCCAAGTGTGCGGAGGAGGGAGCTTTGAAGATATGGAAGATGCCACAGGGAAACTGAAAGGCACACTATTTTGGGGCCCCAATTCTGTGGATGGTGAAATTGACGAGACTTTGCTGGATGGTTATGACATTTGGCTAGTTGATGCCTGCGGTGAGCAGTATGGGCATCTGGGGCAAGTGTTGAAGCTGGACATTCGCAGCAAGTGTTGCAACACTGAAGCCTACAACTTCACCTTTGATGTGATCGACATGCCGAAGGAGCCGTGGACTGTAAGGGGTCGAGAAGGGCTTTCGACCGGTCGTTGTGGGCCAAGTCTCCACGGATGTGTGCGAGGAACACATGAGTTTCATGATCACGCCCTTCAAGGTTGGGATGAGAAGAGAAGAGAAGGTTTCATAAGACGAACGCTGACTGTGTTCGGGCTTGGACCACTTTTGTCTTACCTTGTGAGGCTGAAGATCGACTGCTTGCTGGCACTCTGATCCCCATTCAAGAGCGTGAAACACTCAGCAGATTTGGAGCACGCGTTTTCCAAGCACGGCTTATACATGTCGTGCTATTCTAAGTCGATGCGAGGGAAGGCCAGAATTGATATCTATGTCTGATTGGCATAGGTATCAAAAAAACATATTTATCGAATCAAAAAAAACATATTTACCGAATCAAACAACAATATTTACTGAATCAAAAAAGAAATATTCGTTTTGCGATGAAATCCCTTGGAATTCCCAGTCGTGTGGGTGGCCGGTCATCTGGTCCGCTGGTCCTCTGGTCCGCTGGTCCCCTGGTCCTCTGGTCCGCGCTGGTCCGCTGGTCCTGCCACCAAATCTGCACTCCAATGGCCCACAAAGTCCTGCACCTGCCACCAACTCTACACTTCCACATCAAAAACTCCTCCGCCTGCCACGAAATCTGCACTCCAAGGCCACAAAGTCCTGCACCTGCCACGAAATCTGCACTTCAAGGTCCACAAAGTCCTGTGCCTGCCACGAAATCTGCACTCCAAGGCCCACAAAGTCCTACACCTACCACGAAATCTGCACTTCAAGGTCCACAAAAAAGTCCTGCGCCTGCC